TCTCGAGACTTTGATTTCTTTGGGGGTTGGTTTGGAACTGATAGGTATGAGAGAAGTTTCTCTTGATAGATGTCAGCTTTTGGAAATATTGGTAATTGGAAATTTGGAAATGGATGATTGTGGAGTTGTTTGGAAGCATATTACTTGCTTAATTTTTTAACTACAGGAATGTTTGAAGGTATTCGTTAAGTTGTCTATTAATCAGCAACGAGTTGAAACTAGTGGGAGACGATTTTCATTCGATATTACATTGCAAGGTAACTGGGCGAATAACAACGGTAACGTAGAGTAGAATTTATTCTGCACAAAACAAAGATCACGCGCAAGCATTAAGTTCTTGTCAGACCTGATAACGGTGAAACAGAAAATAAACGGACTAGAAACAGTCTAGAAATTCATTACTCGTGTTCGAAACTGGGAACACAGAATTGCTTCGCTTCTCCATCCCCGTACTTTTCGCTGCTACTGTACATTCACTCTTCCGAGTTAATTTCATACAGTTCCCGGCGACCGTTAACTGAAAATCAACGCGTCTAAGCCGAGATAACTCCGTCGCGCTGAGAATTTTGACTCGCGAAACTCGGTTCACCCCTGCGGAGGGGTCGGGGCAGGGTGAGAGGTTGTTCACGCGTGAAACACGTAGGATCGCGGAAGAGACAGGTGAGTGGCGTGGCAGACTAAAGGCGCGATTCGAGGAAAGCGATTAGCCGACATCCTGTCAAACGCATGCACCGCCGTAGAACGTCGCCTTTGTAGCAATCGACGCCGATGAAACGGCTAAATTAATCTGGAGCCCATACGATACGGCTGGCTCGACTAATTTTCGACACTCGATCGGAAAATTCGATTTTCTCGGGACGACGTCGCTCCTCGGCGACGCAATCTTTTACGGGCAGTGCCGCCGGAATGCTCGCAGCGAGGGAACGTGTCATTGAAATACAGGATTCGGTGGAATTATTGTTTTAATACGGAAATGATAGGTATTCGTAATCGAATTGAAAATTATCATTAGTCGCGGACGAAGCATTCGGGAGACTCGATTAGTTAAAATTAGCTGCGGGGAAATGTGTAATCGATTTCAACGATATTTTAATCTGTTCGCGAATGCCATTGAAGTGAAATTCGATTACAGTTTCTGTAAATTGTATGATCTATATTTACTTAATTAAGCTACGATACGGGGAGCGTGAAAACGTTTTTCATTCGCGAAAGATTTTATAAAAACCTTCGACCGCACAAATGCATGAATTCTGCAGTTGTACCAGGACACTGAACAGTATTAGCAGCTAGAACGGAATGCATAATTAATGCTGATTTATTAATGCAGTCGCAGGGAGTTACGTTGACGCAGTTCGCGTATTTATGAAAATGGCGTTTAATCGCGATCGGTAAACATGTTTGAATTTACGGTATTCAAGACAATTCCACAGAAGCTACCCTATAATTCGTACCGACTAGTTTCTGCCGCGGAGTAATTTCAAACTTTCTAACTTCGAATGGTCGCTCGTATCGATTGCTGCGCGTGATTAACGTGCAAACTCTCTTTCGGGAGTATTCCTATACATATATAATTACATTACACTACTTACCGTGGCATTACCCAAATCGCTCATTTATCCAGACCCACTGAAACCTTTATCATCCCCATAAATCCACGATCCCCGCGAAATCCGGAACGACAGATCATTTTTCGATCGGGTCGCGCGGCGGCGTGGCAGGGGGATTAACACGTTCGTCAATCATGCACACGTGGCGCACGTCAGTGGCGCTAGCGTACCGACGTCCAACATCATAAACACGCATCCGTTAATGTAAGTATCATTAAACGAGGGCATAACTGACGGCATTCAGATGAGCATTCGGTGGGGGGTTGTTAATGACCGGACGGCGGAACGAGCGCCGCGGCTGGCAGCTACACGCGCGAACGCACACGTGTAACGTCTACCCACACGAACGTGTACACACAGCTATGCGCGTACACACGACAGGATGAATTTCGGATCGCGCCGCGGTCCGATGCTGTCGCTCGAATATTTTCACCGGAATAAATGTAATGCCGGCAATTAACCGATACAACGGGCGAAAACGATACCGAATCTGCGGCGCGCTGTTTATTCGAGGCCGGCAAATAAACGGGAGCCTGTTATTATGCCGGCCGCGATATTTCGGCATCTGTTCGATCGTAAAACGTGCCTGGGACCCGGCGCGGCCCGGCCCGGTCCGCTGCCCGACGATGATTTATCGTGAACGGTGTCAGCAGTCTTTGAAGTCACGCCGCGCCGCGGGGGTTGTTTAGCCCGCCGCGGATTGATTAATCGTGAATCGGCGCGGGGGAGGGCCGTGCCGACTCCGGTCCCGCCGGTGCGCCAGTTTTTGCCCTTGCCAGCGAGATTAATGCCCGCGATCGCGGGCTTTCATGAAATTAATTCTCGCGCTTTTAGCGGAGATGACCCATCGCGACGATCGGATTCGGTGGACCACGATCACCGTGATCGTGGAGTTTTATGATCTTTCAGGGATCTGCTAGTTGATTGGTAGTGGTTTTGCGAAGGAAGATTGTGTATTTAAATATTGTTTAATTGTTAATAGAAAAATTTCCTGAATTTTGATTGGAATGTATTGATAGGCTTTGTATCGTGGAATGATGGGTCAGACGTGTAGTCTTTGCGAGGGTGGTTTCTAAATAGAGGGGCTATTTAATTCAATAATAAATAGTACACCTACAGATTTCACGAAATTTTGCATTCGTTTAAAAAACAACGCTGTTTTCTTAATCACGCGCAGCGGTCGTATACATTCGGACGATAGTGTATTAGTTATTATAAACATATTTTAAGGTACAGTATGGGGGAATAAAGTAATGTAACCCGGTGCTGCGTCACACGATAAATTGAAACTCTTTTGCTCATACCTCACATGATGCTCGTTCCAGGCGCATTTTACGCGGTGTCCTCGAAAATACAATAATTCTCTGCAGCCTGGAATTTACTAGCTGTAGTGCATCGAAACGTTAGAGTTCCCCAAATTGTGTAGTTTTATTCTACGGCCGGTCCGAGTGATTTTATTCGACGGATCGTAATACGAAACTGCGAACCCTATAAATCGATGTCCGATAGAAAGCGCGGACGGGAAAATAATACGCCGTTCCTCAAACTCACAATATGACGTTTTCCATGGAGTTTTGATATTTGTCGAAAAACATCGATGAAACTCACTTTTTCTAAAAATTCACTTCTGCAAATCGCAAAAAAAAGTCACGATTTCCTGTTCTTACATTTCACTACTATTAACTCAGCAATAAACAAAACACTTACTAGATCTATGAATATATTATTCACCCCGTTCTCAAATTTCATCGATTACTACAAGCTTACAAAATCCGAGTTCACTTCAGATTAAAGCCATCCGCAATTCACTCGTGGAATCCTTAATTCCCAATCGCCAAACGCTGACATGCTTCATCAAGACCATCATAAAATCGTCGAAACTTTCCATGCCTCATCCCCCAAAGAAAATTTCAGAATCGCGCATAATGCGTCGATCAGTAAACGGATCGCGAAGCCGCGCGGTCGTATTGCACAATGCCCATCCTTTATTAACACCGCAAGCCCCGTTTAAAAATTTCATCCCCCGGCTCGATGGCCGGACGTGATTTTTCAAGAGGGTTGCTCGATACTTCTCCGGGAAGGTGGATGTACAAGTGGCTCGACGGGGACGTGCGCTCCATGTGAAAAGAAGAACAGCGAAGCGACGGGGAGGGTGGGAACGAGCGGAGAAAAGGAAAGAAAGACATCCGCGCGGGGGCTGAACTACGCCCGACGGAGACAATCGACGCGAGAGGGGGATGCGTGGCACCGGAACTCGGGGATTATTCCGGAAACGTTCGGATCTTCCTTGCAGCAGGTTTCTGGTTAAAATAGGGCATTACGATGCTATCTGTGTTACCGGCCAACGTGCGTGGGCGGAACACACGCGCACACTCTATCGAGAGGAAAACAAGGGGGTCGAATTCCTGGTGGAAAAAGGGGCGAGATTCCGGCGAGCGTGCGGACTGTAAGGCGGCGGCGTATAAATATTTATAAGGGGTGTCCACGAACTTTAGGCGGGATAGTTCGTTCTACGTTAGCGTGTATTTCCCGCGCCACCCCAGCGCCTCACCCCTTTACTCTTGATTTTATTCTCGCCAGTCCCGGGTAATGCTGCTCTTGAGGAATTGCTGGTTTTCGGTTTATACGGTCCCCTGTTGAGCCTCTGGTCGATTACGATGAACACTTCCAGGGACGTTAGGGTATATTGTTGGGGTTGTTCTTTGGATACTAAGGGTAATCGTTTATCGAATACTCGAGAGGACGTTTTTTACGGGATGTTGGAAACTTGAGTTTTAATTTATTTCGAAAGAGTTCATTTTTCATTTTGAGCTAGGAGTTGTAACTTGCTTCTATATCTGCATTTTGTTAATGTTATTTGCTTTGTGCAAGTCATCAAATTTATAGAAGACCTTTTCTTAATGGATTATTTGAATGTAGTAATACATACTGAAAATTAACGGTATGAACGAGCGTTTGTTATCTACGGGAAATGTATTGATTTGTATATTAGTTGTGCGTTGAGCTGTGGTTTGTACAGAGGGCTGCGCCAGTCTCTTCTATGCAACTTACCCTCGTAGGATATGGTAACAGCGCGAACTGGATCACCGACGGCAGACAGTATAGACTGGTTATCCCGTGGAATTTCGTATCTGATGATTTTGATATGCCTCCACGATTTCCAGTGGCAAGTTTAAGAATTATATTTGAATCAACGATTGAAGCAGGTAAAATCGATGAACGTACAGAGCACTTTCGAGGAATGGCGAACACTGGCGAACACTGGCGAACAATGGTCAAACAAAAGTTACAGCTTCATTATAGATGACAGATTTGTACATAATTAAACTGAAAACAATGAATTATATATAGTAAACTTATTTTCTTTTTCATATACTTTATTATAGCGTTATTCAACAATTCAGTGGTGTAATAAAATACAATTTTAGCAAGGAAACCAACGCCGAATTACATATACAATTAAGAAAATCTTAACACGATTATAAACGATTCAGTATCAACATGCAATGTCAATGATAAACCGTCGACTGTCTGAAAGTGAATAATCAAACTATATCAACAACATCCCACTGTTTCACTTCCTATTTCCTGCAATAAAAATAATAATAGTAATAATAGTAATGATAATAATAATCATCGTAATAATCATATTTTTTTTTAAACGGGTATTACAGAATTTACCCATCAACTGTTCCATTGCTGTAGTCACAGATGGAATTACCACGTTATAATCATATATCGAGCCCTCAAATTGTTGTTACATTACCGTAGAGTCTACATCGTAGACAAAGAGACGACGGGTAATATTTTTACTCGCTAATTCAATTGCAACCACAGAATTTGCTGTCATCAAATATTTCTATTAGATGAACACATACTTAAATCTCAATAGAGAAGAGCAGTGGCAGTGTTAATCAAACACGTATTATTTCAACTTTTTAAAATCATTGAGATCCTTACAGGAACTCAGTCTTCAGTTGGAAAAACGCGTGTAAATAATAAAATATAAAATAATTGTTTATAAAATACACTTATAAAATGCCATAAAGAATCTAGTAAATGAGCACTGCTATCTTGAAAGTAGTAATTACTATTTAAAATTGTTAAGTGAACAGCGAAACTAAAGAATAACTAAAATATAAAGTACAATGGCTAAAGTATAATATAAGTGTTAGATTGGGCAAAAAGTCTTGTCGTTTTACTTTTCAACGTAGCTTCATGTTTATAAAATATATTTATTATATACATAATTTCTATGTATATTGTAGAGGAGTGCAGACAATCAAAATTTCGGGTACGAGTCGGGCAGTCTCGGCCGAGTACTTGAGCAACCCTACATTTCCGGGTATTTTAATGATAATAATATCTATATTATAAATATCTGTACCATGGATATTATGATATAGGTGAACTGGTCGAAATGCTATACCCTCACCGATTTTAATGAATTTAAAGTATATTGTTCGTGGTATTTTACACATATAAGAAATAGTTAGTCAGAATCATGCCTCGAATAACATATTTCAAAATCATCAAAATCGATCAGGATGCAGCATTTTGGTGTGGCACTATATGAGATATGTATAAAATATTTATACTATAGATATTATTGACACCAACAAGGAGAGTGTGAGGAGTTCGGGGCACTGATCTGGTTAGAACTTTATATACTGGTAGATTTGGCCGTCCTGTTTATAAAAATATAGAGGCAGATACTCAATGGTTTCTTAGACGTTTACATTTTAAATTTCACTGCAAGAAATATAAGATTTAATAGAAGGTTTCTCTAAACTTTGGTTCGGTTTGTGGTAACGTTCGAGGTTCATATGTCGAATATGTATACTGACTTTCATTCATTTGAATAAAGTTTTATTGAAATATTCTTACTCGCTAAAAAATATTAACCTTATTTGTTTCATAAAAATTACGCTCTCTTTGTAAGATAGCTGTAAATATTGGATTTCTTAGGTACTCATATATGTTTCGAGAACTCGCTCGATTTTTGTTCAGTCTGACCGGACTCATATACCCGTGATTTCGGATACTCGCATACCCGTAGTACATTATATTTAATATATAAATACATTTTATAAATGTGAATACAATAGAAGATGATAGAAAATTGTCAAACGAAATAAGTAATTTTAAGCCTAGTTCAATAAAGTGATATTTTTCTTTGAATTTCATTTAAAAATCTGATAAATGTACTTAGGACGAGCATGCAATAGAAATTTAGAGTGCAGCCTTATGATGGGACAAAAATACTCGTCATACTTTGTACGTTGCATCAACGCTTAAAATATTTCGGTTGTATCAGCGGTATCTATGAATTTGTGAGAATGTTTTTTACGGCATTTCCGTCGGTATACGAAGATAAACAATTTTTCTATTGACCATTCTGTAAACATGAATATGGACAACTTAAAACATACATGAAGAATATTTTCCGATACTCGATATTTATATAAGCTTCATTATAACGTATGCGTTTCAATTGACTGATATTTGTTAACTATATATTTGACGAAGTGCTGTTTCATAAGTCAAAATAAACTCATGCCCAACTACACAAGCACGTAAATGTAATTTAACTAATATGTAACACCACATTATTTTTTTTTTCGTAAATGTAATCTTATACAAGACGCTTACAATAGAGCTATAATATAAACAGGACACGGATATCAAATCTTCATTACAGTTTCAAAAATATTTAACTTACACGAGGTAGTACCGTTTAAAAGCTAAAATTATGTCGTGCAATACGTAATATTTAACTTATTAAAGTAGTACAATTCAAAACCATTTTCGTTTATTGTGGCGCTTGCATTTCATCTCAGTCTCGTCTATATCCTTATCGATATCCTTTTTGGATGTTTTTTTACATTTTTTCTCATTCGTCTTTTTCTTTGGTTTGCCTTTCTTCGTTTTTGAACAACAAGGGTCGTTCATTTGGTTGTCCGGTAGTTCATTTTTGGTTTTGGCTAATAAACAAAAAATAATGTAATACAAATTTATACCGAACGATTCATCTACAAGATAGTTTACCTACCAGCAAGGAGACCCATGTGTTTATGTATGCTTTTATCCTCTTCTATTTCTCTGCGACGATCCATTTCCAGGCATTCGATTATTTCATTTCGTTTCTCAACAATTTGTACGAGTCTGTTAATTAATTAAAATCAAACATTTAGTATGTTACCGAACAACCATATTTCTTCATAAAAGGAACATCTCATTATTCGTGTATACCGAGTGGTATATATTATTTGTGCACAGAAGACTCTTTTCGTCTGTCTCTTATAACAGTTACCTCTGTATTAATGCTTCTTCCCTTTGTTTGTCGAAATCTGTTTTCGTGGATTCATTTTGTGACATTAAACAACGAATTTGATACTCTACTTCGCCATGTTCTTCCTCCAATCTCTGTTGCCTTCGAAGCAACATTAATTCACCTTGCCGCCTGAACAGTTCGTTTTTTTCATTCACAAGCGCGAATAATTCCAGAACTAATTCCTCTACGTCAGATCGCATAGATACATCTGAAACTAATAACGAATTCGTTATTATTATTAATCTTTTTATCGATACTATAAACAATCTTTGAACATGCCAGATTACTCAGATTTACATATAATTTAGACAGAATTACCATCATTGTTAAGTCCCGTTTCACATTTAATTCTGATCAGTTGCTCCAATCGTACACCTTGCTTTTCCAACCCTTGTTGCTGTAATTCAATTTCATCTAATTCCAATTTGACATCCTTAAGAGACATTACTTTTATCTGAAACATATGAATACTCGATAAAAAATCAACTAATTACAAATTTGTGTGGTTCTCGTATTTAAGTTTCTAAATCCTTACTAAATCCTTATTAAAGAATATCAAATGAACAAATACTTACTTTTCTTCTATGTGGTATTGGACACGGCGGAGCCGGATTCTTCTTTCTCTTCCATTTCCCTTGTGTACTTTTGTCTGTGTATGGCGTGTGATAATCCAGAGTATCCCCGTGCGAAATGTGCGTCAAACTTTGTTTATTTCTGTTCGCTTCATCTTTAGTCAGCTTCTTATCCTCCCATGAATTTTGAGTTTCAACCGTGTTACATGAATCGATTATTGGAGATATTTCGTGTGGCAGTGGAGCAACCACGGTACTATGCGGAGTACTGGTTACCATTGGTGGTGGAGGAGCAGGTTTCGTTTTACGGGCCTTAGGCGTTGTACGTTGATGCGATTTCTATTGAAACAGTGTATATCCAGATCACAATCGTGTATTATTCCAATGAAATATTATATTTATAAAGAGTATAGAATAAATAAACTTCAAATATAATAAATGAACATTTTATCGGTTAATTACGTGAGATTCAGCTGAACCACTTCGGGGTTCGAGTGCTGGAGAAGAACGTGGCTCGGGCACTCGTGCGTCCTTATTAATTGGAGGTAATGGTGCTGGTTGTTTCTTTCGAGAAGTTACTCCCGGGGTTCCTCCGAATTCAGAATTTGTTAAGGAAGTATTCGATGCGTACAAGCTCCTGCTATTAAAATCAAATTCTTTATTACAATATCGTTGTCTTTTAACCGATTGATCGCGAACTAACGCAATTATCGTCTCAGCTCATTCTACGCTAAAAGTGTGATTTTCACGCATGCTCGCGATAGTCGAATAAACACAGTATTCTCGCGTTTAGTAAATACCCGAAAATCGAGACTAATCGTGTAGTGGTGTTGATTCGAATTCGAAATAAGATCCGAGAGATCTGTTTGATCTCTGTAGAAAAGGGTGCTGCCAATCAAATTGCGAGACGCCCGACCTTCTTAATCTTAATCTTCTTTATTGTTCACTTTTACTAATTTCTACCGATTGAATTGTAAGGTTTTTCTGATTAAGGCGAGGCTAAACACGATATATTTTGGAGCACATTTATGTATTTAATAAATTACAATATGTCATGTTTGGTCATGTTTGGTCTTATTTTAATCAGAAATATTAATTATTATTATTAACATGGTGCGTTTTATTTGAAAATTCGACACAAGTAATCGATTTTGAAGACACGTCATTTTTGGTGGGAGGTGTTTAAAGATGATAAATATAAAATACTCCATACTTTACACATGTTGTTCCTATCGAGGTAAAACGTCATGGGAACGTGTTAGTTCTCATCATTGATCCGGCTCGCTATTGCTGTGATTACATTGTAAATAATATGTTTGCTAAAATAATTCCTTAAACGCTAAATTCATTGCTTTGTTGTCTAATCGATCGGTTGTTTGTACTATTACGAAACTTGTACAGCTCTCGAGAAGTCGAACCGTACGAGCGTACAGTGGGTAAAAACAGTATTCGTACACTTAGTTTTTTGGCAATAACTTTCTACAAAATCGATCATACATTAGCAAACTCTACTTTCATTGCTAGTCTACTATCTACAGATATAATGTGGAAATCATTTTTGTTTGTTATTTTTATTTCCTTCATTCTAAATTCAATGTGTATCGCAAATTTTCTATCGGGTTAACGTCAGGGGATTGTGGTGGTGTAATTAACTGTTCGGGAACATTATACAACAGCTATTCTCTTCTGTATTTTAGATTCATAAGTATTTATAAGGTCTCAAATACTTATTGTTTACTAGACGTATACTTTAATATAATATTTGATTATGTTTTTTTTCTTTTGTCTCGTTATAAACAAAGTTATGATGTAACGAAGTAAAAATCTCATAGTGTATATTTTATTCATAGTGTATATATTTTATTATAATAATAAAAGCCTTATTAAAACTACATAATTCACTGTTTTGATTATATACGTACTTAATGTTACGTGGTTTTGGAATAGGCATCTGCTCGGGGGTTTTCCACTGGTAATCCAAATCACTGTCATGATCGTCCTCGTCGCTCCAAAAAGGATTCAGATTAATTTGAGGTGCAGCCAAACGCCGTTTTGCTTGTATGTTTGGAGACAACTGTTGTTTAGGTGTGTTACCCAAATTATTTCGTTTTGCAGGTTTCGGTGGCGACAGTTTTTTCTCATTACTAATTCCCTCCTTTTCGCTCGCTTCATTTTCAAAAGGATTCGACGAAGCTGTAGAACTTTTGAAACTGTCCACGCTTATATGGTGATCCTCACCTTCTTCGTCATCGCTTTTAAAAGGATTTAAATTTTCTGGATAATCCTTACTCATGGTATTCTGCCCGGAAGTTTGGCTACTTTGTTTTACAGAATCACTATCTACTTGATGATCTTCGCTACTTTCTCTATCTATGTTAATTGTATCTAAATTTTTAGATAATTCAGGCGTACGCATAACGTTCTCTTCGCTTTCTTCTATACTGAGATTCCTAACATTACTTACGGAATTGCTTCCTTCGTTATTAATTAATTCAATAGTTTCTGAATCTAATGTATTAGAACTTTTTATATCCAACATTATTGACTTTTCATCGGTACATTTTATCGTATTATTATTTAGAGCTTTCGTTTCTTCGTCTAAATGTTTCTGCTCTTCTGTTCCTTCTTGATCAAATTTCAGATCTACTTGACTTTTACTTATTAATTCTACACGTCCGTTACTCTGCGCTTTAGACGTTTGTGCTTCGATATTTTGAAACTTTTTCTCTCTTCTTTTAACGCGATCCTCCTTGTCGCAAGTTTCAAATAATTTTAACCTCTGTTGAACTAAAGAAAGGCAACGTTCAGTATCTTCATCTTCATCGATATGGTCTATCGATTCTTTTATATTACTTGTTTTAGTAACTAAAGCACTAGGATTATCCTTATTTATAGCACGGAACGAGGAAGTTATTAATTTCTGTACTTCTTTGTCCGTTTTCATGGAATCCCTATCCGTTTCTTCTGCACTCTGAGATTCAACTTTCAAAGAAGTGTCACAAAAATTCTTACTCTCCTCCCTGGCTTCCTCCTGTTCAACAAATTTATCATTAACTAAAAATGCCGTTTCAGACGTACACGTAGCTTCGTCAGCTTCAGAATTCGTGGTACGTTTTTCAACGACATTCGATTCTCCATCTGTTGTATCATCGTCGGCAACAATTTCATCGCTATTCATCGAGAGCAGATGGTTCGATATATAATTCATCCTTAACCGAGAAGTTTGTGCCACCGTTTCAGGTATAATAGCGTCTTCCGGCTGTAATCGTTTAACAGAATTATGGCTAGGTATATTTTGATCTGTTTCTTTTGTATCACTGAAAGATCCCCGATCGCTTGAATCGGTAACGATATCGCTTTCCTCAGCCCCCCCTAATGTTGTACTGAATGTCAGAGTATCATTGTATTTTTGTATCACAGATGATGAGATTCCTTCGTCAGGGCACGCCTCGCAACAGAAGTCACCTGTTTCGGTTTCATAATAATTACCGTGAGTTAACTGATTATTACAGCGAGCGCAGCGGAAACATGTCCGATGATAAATCAGATGGGTGACCACCAATTTCTCTGCCAAGAACACCGGAAGTCCGCACACAAAGCATGACTCCCTCCGCATACCCAGGCACGGCGTCACCTACGTAATTACAAACAGCATTAGAATATCGCAATTAAAATATCTGCAGAATAGTTTCTCTTTAAATTTGTCTCATACGGGACAAATGTAATTATATATTTAAGGTTAAATAACGGATAAAGAAAATTTAAGGTGTCGTGTGATTTAATAAACCATAGACGAAGTCTTGCTTGTATTATAAAAAACCACTCGTGATGTCGTCAAGTTTAACCTTCTTCAAATACGACTGTTAATCAATGCGAGAAATGGCATTATAAACATTCGAGATCCGAGCACTTAATTACAGAGGATGCGTTATTTAAGACGGAAACCTAAAATGTCGCTCTTGTTTCTAACGAGATTAGAACTCATTTTCTTTGTTAAAATCACGATAAAAAGTATTCCTTCGTAGATTATATTTTACGCAGTTTCAAATTCACGCGTTCGTCTCTTACGATCAGGTAATCCTGTTATAAAACTTTCATATTATTCGAATGATGTTTAACACGTTAAACGCCACGAAAATCTTAAGCGTTTTCCCATAGAGTTTGTCTCTTGTAGCGAAGAAAAGTAGGAATAATTATGAATTATCTAGCGTTGCAACGTTCGCGTTACACTATTATCAACTTAGTTGCCTTGTTAAACATTTTTATTTCACATCGGTTGTCTTGTGTGTCACGATTGTTTTTTAGTCATTCAGAAGCGTCAGTCACCAGTGACTGACATGGCGCTTAACGCGTTAAAAACGAAGTTAATAACACTGTGGTTATTTCGCAACGGGTTTTTATTGCTTCGCCGGTCAGCCATCTACTTATTATACACTTCTCGCGTTAACTCCATCGACCGTCAAGCTAAAAGTGCACAGAGGTAAGGGGACTCTTCCTCTCACGATACTCGGGCCGCCCTCGACTTTGACGCACGATCATTATTGGCGCGCAGCGATAATGAAGGATGGAAGTAATAAAACTATTTCGAATAAAACAGTCCGGAGAATACTTCGAAAAAATTCGTATAATGGTCGCGTAGCCAGAAGAAACCCTATGCGAATGCCATAAACCGAAGGAAACGTCTGGAATTCGCCAAAAAAGTATATTTCTCAGCCTATAGAATTCTGGAAAATCGTAATATCTTGCGACGAAATTCAATATTTCGGAATCGGATGGTTATCAGAAAGTGTGGAGAAAATCAAACGAAGAGATGCACTCTAAGAATCTTCGTTTAACGATTAATAAGTGAATGCTCCATATAAACAAAATGAAAATGATGAAAGTCTTATATATTAGATAGAAAACTTACATACAAATAGTCGGGTATTTACATACCTACAAAGTAATTGGCTGGTTGGTCCAGAAACGATGAACACAAAGTTTATCTTAATTTTACAGTATACCTCGATGAATTCGTTACGATAAATATAACCATGTTTGTAAATAAAATATATAACATTCCATTAAAGAAGATTACGTTGACCTTAAACTTTCCAATACTAGATCACCTTTAAAGAGCCATCTCTGTAGTGCATAATGCTTTACGCCATGCCAAGCACCATTTCTAACTAGTATAAATTTATATTTCCAATTTTCTACGAGAAACTTCAGCATTCCTAATCAGTCAAAATCTCCGTATCGTATTTAACCGTAATGCATCATTTTGATAAAACAGATATTTACTGCGTACTATCGAATATGTTATTTTATTATGTATTAGTCTTCGATACGTTATTAATATATCGTTTGTAATTAATAAGAAACGCAAGTACTAATCGCGTTGTACTTTGTAAGAGTGAAGAATAGTGTTAGAGCTTGAAATCATAATGGATTCCGAAGCGTAAGAAAAATTAAAGATAGGATGCCTACTATAGAAGTTAAAAACATGCAAAGCAATAAACGACAAAGCAAAATTACCTTCTAGCAGAATATTTCAGGTTTATATTGCCCCATTAAGTCCAAGCTTTCCTCCTGGAGAATAAAAATATATCATGAGACAAATAAAAACGTATCTACTGCGCGAGAAAAAAAATTCCTTCGTTTGCTAATTGTCAGATGGACATCGTAGAAGTTACTTTATATTTACATTACTAGTATGACGCAATAGTACTGCCATCACCATTATTACAACGATACAAGAATAATCGAATGTATAGAAACGCATTGTATGATTTTCAACTAATTAAATGGTATATGAAAGTTTGCTTCGTACATGTGAAAACGACGACTACAAGCAATCTTAGAAAAAATTACTAAAATCTACCGTATTATTCGATCAAATGATAACTCGTTCTAAAATACGTTTCGCGATTAACCATAAAACTTATAAAAAAGATAATCTGCGATACCGCGAATGTATTATCAGCTTATAAAAAGTTATAGCACTTTTACCAAAGATCGTCGACCATTTATTTATAAGAATTATCTACGTCTAAGTGTCGAAAGCTTAAACACATGCAAAAATTGGTTTTATTTTATGCGAACTTATTTTTGTGCACATTGCTTTCTAGTGTCCACAGTGTATGCAGGGTTTTTCATAATACGAAAACATAAATTTACTGGTTTATATAGCACACTAAGATAAGAAAGGAAGTTCACATAAATATACAGCATATAACCTTGTTTCTGATCATGAGATACAGCTGTTTTGTAATGTATCAATTATTCACTTGTTCTTCACTCAAAAAATCGAGTTCATCACGCTTGTGTAATTTGGAATTTAATTATTTGCCACGCATCGCCAAAAATGCGAAATATAAAATGATTTAGCGTAGGGGGTAAATCATTTTGCCTGCCCGAGGTTAAACAGTTTTCTACACCGGAAGCCATATCCTATTCTAAAAGTCATAATCTGAGAGCTTACTAGTGTTAATAGAGACGACACATGCAGAGACTTAAGCTCTTTACAGCACGGGGCGAAAAACGGCTCTTATTGTTTAGTATTTTAACGGCACATCGCGGCAATACTCATTCGCCTTTTCAAATCAAATTCCAAAACTTTCCTTTCACCCGCGCGTGGCAGCCAGCGACGGTTGTAAATGCATATTTCCGAAGGGCGACCGAATGGTATCCTAAGGACACTCGGTTCCTGGGCTTTGCCTGGAGGAAATTTGTGTCCAAGCTAAAAACATAGTCTCTGCATGTCTTAGGTAGCACCCCACCCTCGTTAGACTAGGCGCGCCAAGGGACGGTGGAGACAATTCGTTTCGAAGGCCCCTGATTGGGACTTGTCAGTTTTGGCGGTAACCAATCAGGGTGTTTTCTTAAATTTCGGAGCTGACGATCTGACTCGCAGATCGCCAGCGAGACAGACAACTCAAAACGGTCGAACGAGACACATCAAACAAGCGCGTCTTAGTGTTCAGACATAATTGTACACACGAAAATTACAGTCCACTAACGAAGAAGCAAGCGGTCTCGTTTAATCAGCTCCAAGTAAGGACGCTGCTGTGAACGCCCAACATTTAAGATTTCATTTTTTACGCTTTCTTAATCTTCAAATAACTGTGAAAATTACGACAAAAATATAGTTTTTTATTTATTATTTTTCGTTTAATGTTTTGAGATTTTGTAGTCGGGTTATGGCAGTGCTACACAAAAGAATCCTAAGAAATAAATGAGAAAACGATTATTTATCCGATTCCGAGTATAAAACATACTGATCCAAGGAAGATTGATTATGACATTTTCTAGTTACTGAAAGGAAATTTAAAAATTGTTGATTTCCTCCAAATGGTTTATACAAATTTTTTTAAACGTGTACGAAACGTATGCAAAACTTTGAAGAAAGAACCAAAGGATAAAATAAAAAGTAATAGTTAATGAAACGGCAAACATATTTTATTAAGATATTTTGGAAAATATACGATTTACAATGTTGTCGATAGATTCACGAAGTTTAAAAACTGATTGTGCATTTTTATTATGGCTACGTCATGGTTACGCTAAACTAACTAGCATGATGGCTGCATACGTGATTGTGAAATGGCGCTGCGTATGACTTTCTAATAGTAATAGAGACGACGAAAACGATGATTCTGGTCGATGAGAGTGCTGAGTCGGTGGTGTATCGATGATGCTGACAGTCGATTATATGGAAACAGTTGTGGTAAACCGTTCTGTGAGCGGATGTCGATATTCTGCTAATCACTGTCATTGACTTTTCAATGTTGTGTACAAAAAATATTAACCGGAAAAAGTATATTTTGAAATTAGTCAAAAGTTGTCAGAGGTTAGGCTATCGTTTGCTGAATCTGAACGTATTTAAGTTACTTTGCATTGTAATTTTTGAGCTGCAGTGTTTTCATTTAATATGCTTCCTCTATAAGATTTCTCATCTTCGACGTCATTTCCGATTTTCTTTTTCTTTTCTTTACCGAGGATATTGGAACTTTTAAAATACTGTCGAAATTTTCCACGGATGCGGCGGGTATTTCCGTACTTATAGTTTCTATCGGTTTGTCTTCGTGGAAACTAATGTTGTCGCTCTGTTCAGTATTTTCCTTTTCCTCATTCTTTTCCTGTAATCCCTAAAACAGAGTTGAACACATTTTTCGTTTGTAGATGCCGGGAAATTTCAATGTATAACGGAAGACAGAAAAAGAATTTGTGGAAAGGTAGAAGTCGCCTAGGCATAATCGAGCGAGAACACAGTGTTTCAGACTTGTAATAATATGTAATGCAGAATTGTTTGGTTACAAAGAAACTTCAAGTACGTATACGGTGTTTTCCCTTAAGCTCTTGCGCTACTCCCCTTGCGAATGTCGCGATACGCCCGATCTATTTCTAGCGTCGGCTAGAAATTAAATAGCCTTCAGTTTATTCGTATAATTTTCACAGGATTCGAATTAAAAAGACCATATATCGTTAAAAATGATATTGAAGGTTGCGTAACGCACCGTACAACCATTTCAACCATAAACCAGAAAATTTCTCGAACGTGTCCAATAAAAATCTGGTTACTAGCTGTCTAGAATCGCCGCAGACATGTATAATTTCCATACATCCGACCTTAAAAACCTTAAAAACCGTTGATCATCCTACGGCCACGCGCGGCAGTCGAGGCGAGCGTTAGTCGGGGAATCCCAACGGGTGGAGTTAGACTCCTGTCACCTCTAATCTCACTAGACAACGTGTATTCTCCATCCCCATCGGAATTGTTACGAATGAATTGTTATAAATGTTCTCCTGCCCCCAACGGCATTTTTCTTCTCCTGAAGAATTACTTGCCTTCGAGGAAGCTAAATCTTCACGGAGGATCGATCACTCTCCGAGTTGATCACAGTAAACTTTATACTAACGAACTCACCGTGTCACAAATATTGTGATTTTTATTTACCAAAACACCGACTCCTGATTAGCCTTTACGACATTAATTTGCCGTCGAGCGCATCGGTCGTCGCGATTGGTTCATTAACGCGGTCGAGTCGCGAGCGTGTGACCGTACACACCTGTTATCAGTCGTCTGATTCTCATTTTTTATCATCTGAATATCATTTTTTTTAACGGTATGGCACCGTCGAGGCACGCGCTGGATTACCGAAAATCCGTCGAGCTCCGGACGAGTTTGCACCTCAACGTGCCGAGCAAACTTCCGCCGAGAACTCTCGTAGAACCACCTTCCGTTGTTGGAAGGAGAAAAAGGACAAGCAGTTTGTCTAATTTCATTTCAGTCGATGGTTACCGTGAACCGTGCGTACTAAGAATTACAATGCCGAGTAGAGTCCGAAAGGTATCAGATCCGAATGTCTTCCGGTAGCCGCAGTTTCACTCGGACTCTATGTATCTCCGATGGTTGTCGTAGCGACTTCGTCACCACGTTTTTAATTGATTTGTCCGTCCGCGGTTCTCTGTCTTGACCCGGGTATATGACCCCGGAAAAACAGAGGAACGCCGTGGACGGCATTTAAGCATTTCTGGAGCATTTTCGGCGCGCGGCGTACAACAGTGGACGAGCGACATCCGACTTTCGATCGGAACAGTAGAAAAACGGCATCTAAAGATTCCATTATTAACTGGAGCATCGTACCGCCGACGCGTTACTCCAAAAAGTACATCGCCCAAGCGCGCTGTATAAAGATACGAATAAATATCAGATTTTCACCTCTCCGCGAACGCAAAACGTGGGTGTGAATTGTGTTTTACTGTCTCAATAACACCTTACGTCGCACCAAAGTTGTCGTATTCAGACTCCTCTCGCCGACGTTCTTGTACCATCAACGAAGACAAAACCGCTCGTTCCCCGATGATCGGAAGAGGACAACGAACGAGACAATAGGGAATTACGTGAAATTGTTGAAAGAGATGGTCAACTTCGAAAGCGATAAATGCATACTGGGCAGAAAATGTTTCTGATCGTACCGTCGGAAATCGTCTACACGAAGTGGGTTTTTCATTTCAATAAATAACCAAATACCTCTTTTACAAGGGAAAGCTTAGTAATTATACGTGTGTAAAGCGATGAACCATGATAACGCAAAGTTTAATGGTCGTATAGGCTATTTATACAAAGCGAAAGTCTTTTTATTGCGCATGCAGTAGTTGAAAAGTATAAGAGGATATTCGAATATACCGTTAAAGAGAAAAATTTCTTTACCAAGATATTTCGGAAACAATGAACAATTTTATAATGACAATTTTATAATTCCATTGAAATCCATTGATATCAATGATGCCATTTACACGAGTGCCGATGCACGCGACAAAGTTCGAATACAAGACATCGTTGAACCACGGAGTTAACTTCGAAGATATGAAATTGCTGACACGCAACATTTTCATCCAAATGATACAATCAACAAAATTATGCAACTGGATGAAATTACAGAAGGATACGAGGAGGTGAATAAGACAACATCGAAGACTCGCTGTCCGAAAATTTGTTTATTTATTAAATTTACTCGACGCTGATGCAGATATACCCGCTGCGCTTGAAAATGAATCTGACGACGAAGTTGGAGAAAAAGAAAAAATTCATCGTAAGAAGGATACTTCAATTATAAATCGTATTCGTCAGTTTTTAGAGCAACGATAACGTCTATCCTAATTTCATAAAAAGGTTAATGGCAGTAAAAAAAAGCTTACGTGATAAAACATTTGTAAATACAGAATTAAAAAAGTAACACATTTTCAAGTAATCAGCTTATTTTGATATAAAAAACGTGCTTTCTTTTATTTCTTCCTGAACCTTGATTACTCACTGAACCTCAATTTATGTCAAGCTGTTTATTCTTCCAATTAAGCCGATTAATCAAAATACTATCGTATATTGAAATATAAATGTATAAAATGTATTGAATAAATATTCTTACCAAAGAAGAAACTTAAATTTTTCTCCATCGCATTTAAAACATAAAACATACCTCATACAAACTGATATAATCCTATTTGTGTTCTAAGAAGTTTTCTAACAGAAAAGCAGTTCTTTGTACACATGACATTACCCCCATCATCAACAACCGGTTCACATGTGCAAATGTAATAAATTTTTACATACCTTTTGTTTTGGAGATTCTGATACTTGGGTAATTCTCTCGTCTTCGGTCTCTGTCGTCCTATTTACCGGAGGTCGACTTGGGGAAGAACCTGACAAAGTAATAATATCAATTTGGTTAATCTAAATTGTTTTTAATTTTGAGACATTACTTATTTAACATCCTCTTTCATTTTAAATATAGACAAACTACCTAATATTAGACAATGTGTACTCGATTATTTCGTTGGAAAAAGGAATTAGTTGAAGTTCGATAGATTTTCGAGATCACTTTCCATGTACTAAGCTTATATTATGCAGCCGAACGCAGTGAGAGAATTGCGCGAATCCCAACACGTTTTCAGACTCGCAATTGGATTTCCCGGTACCGCAATGGAGGGATAGACGGACCTACAGAGCAAATGCTTCTGCCCGTACGACGGCGCTAATGCCAGGTTCTCAGCAACTGACGGTACATAGATAATTATTTAAAAGAACTTACCAACGAAAGTTTGATAAAACTGTGAAAGATAGGTTAAAATGGATAATCGATCCGGGACGGAACAAGAGGCCATATCTTCTGCATCCAAAAGTGCTGGAATTCCCAAATGTTGTTCCGCCGTTCTAAAAGCCAGTTCATTGTTTTGATACACGTCGTTCTTGTCTAGACTATTGAAATCACTGTAATCAAAAACGAAGAACATGTTCTATCATAATGTGAAATTATGGAGGCAATGCGTCAACTATGCTTGAATACTTTTTATATTTAAATCAAATATTACTTTATGAAACAACCATTTATGTAAACAAAATTAACCTTAAGTTATGCTTTGTGATTGGAATTCTATTATTTAACGAGTTTATGCTTGAATCATATTATAACACGCGAATATCAATGATTTATTGTGTATCTAATCGGATGACAGATAACACCATACTTATGTAAGGAAATCGAAAATTTGATAATACGAAATTTTAATTTATCGACTTACATGAGATCTGGCCGAAAATGATGAATCATCGCGCAGAATGCAAGCCCATCTTTCCAAGATGTTGTCATGTTTTGCACATTTACGCCAGGGTAACCGTCGGTTATTCGCCGGCACCATAGTTCCAGTGCCTTCGTGCCCCGTTTTTCGCCCATTTTAAATTTTCACTTATTTCCTTATCTCTTGTTGAAGTGGTTGTCTGTTGGATCACCGACTCCTTTTTTCATGCGCAAAAAGAGAATTCGTGGTCTAAATCCTTTACAATCTGAAACAAAACATATATGATTATAAATACAGCATCCACACATAACATCACGATGCATACTAGCATCGTGGAAGAATTTCTCTAACGCGCGAACACCTATGTAAAAATCATCCACTATTAACACGTTAAGCACCACGAAAATCTTAAGCGTTTCCCCATAGAGTTTGTCTTTTGTAGCAAAGAAAAGTAGGAATACTTATGAATTGTTTGGCGTTGCAACGTTTGCGTTACACTATTATCAACTTAGTTGCCTTATTAAACATTTTTATTTCACATCGGTTGTCTTGTATGTTACGATTGTTTTTTAGTCATTCAGAAGCGTCAGTCACCAGTGGCTGACATGGCGCTTAACGTGTTAAAAGTCAGGACTTGAAATGAACCGGCGATTAACTGTTAAAAGAACCGTTTATTTTGAAAGTGGTGTACGTTAATTTAGAAAAAAGTTCAAGTTAGCTGTTATAGTATTTACAATTCTACATCTCCTTATTCTTGAATAATTTGTAGCTAATATATTTGAAGTCACTAAGATTTTGTAAACAGAAAATTAGATAGTTAATAGAACGATAGAAAAGTTTATTTTGAAGAAGATGACTCAAGCTCCATTTTAAGAGTTTCAAGCGAATACGAAGTATATTATGTACTAAAATTTTATGAGATATGAGTTCTACTTTATTAATTTTTTTTTTGTTAAAGTGGCAATGTTCGATTAGCTCAGATAATTATTTCTTAAAATAACAATTCCATTACATATAATTTTAATATATTAACGCAAATAAAGAAGAAAGATCACTGATGGGATAAAAATGTACAGTGATGCTCATTTAAATTCCACAAAACCTGCTCGGATAAATTCCATTGCACCATCCCTATTCTTCCCCCACTACTCATTGTCTCGAGCTCAGTGTAGCGTCATCCCAGTAAGCAGAGATAGAAATGAATAGAATGAGGAGAAGAGAGACAGACAAAGGTCAAAGAGATGCCGCACGCATCAAGTATAAACATGCGACAAAGACAATGTCAATTGCAATAATTTTAATCTTAGTTTCTCAATCATAGGACCGACAGAATGTTGAGATTCTTCTGATTAAAGTGAGTCCAAACACGACGTAAATCAGTCTAGTTTTATCGATTTGGGGCAAATGTACCTTTAATTTCGTTAATTACATTAAGTCGGTAAAACTAGTCTGATTTCCATCGTGTTTGGAGTCATTTTAATCACGACAATCGCAGAAATTCATTGGCATAACGTTTGAGAAGGTCAGCTTGAAATTACTGTAATTGAAATTTTGTGCGAATTACACGAGTAAATATACTATAGAATTAATTATTTAGGCACTAAAACTTATAGAATTTCAAATAGCAATTCATTCGATTTAAAGGTTTTTAATTCTTTCATTTCGTTACATCCTTCATGGGATTCGTTACAATGTATTCACGATTTAGAATTTATACTTGCAGGAAATGGAATAGAAATAATAAAATACCAACGTGTACTGTAATTGGTTGGTCACACTTCAAGGTGTAAACCTTGATACGATTTGTCCAAGAAGTATCGATTTTTGGATACAGACGACTGCTTGCTTTCCAAATAAGGTGAATTGAAAAGCAAGTTTTTTTAGGTCACGGATAGCGGATGACAGCATTTAAGAGGTAAATGTTTCAATGATTCAGCGGTGACATTGAAAAGCGGAACACAGATTTGCCGGTTCTACGATCCTTGAAATACCACCTATTAAAGGAACGCGTTTCCATTTTTGGTTAAGACCTTAAAAGATGTCACGTGTAATATGTAAACGGAAGCTAATGCAAGGCGATTATCGATTTCAGTTACATTTTATGTAAATACACAAAATGTGAAAAAGTACAATGCGTATTCGAATACAGTTCATTTTCACTCGTGCTTTTACACTGTAAACGGATTCAATCAAAATGACAAAACAAAATCCACTCTTAGATAGAATGGGACTGATTATATATACGACAATAATCTATGCTTAATAGTTTTCGATCAACAGGAAATGGTAAGTGGCAAACGAGAGTGTTTCCGTGTGTTAAAACGCATAATTATTTACGATTGACCGAGTTTTCGTTCGGACTAACTGTTCTCAGCTAACAACTAACAACGGAAGTGAATAAGATTACTGACAACGAGAGTGAGTAACGTAAAACGACGGGAAGTTACCCGTTTCCAACAATGTATAGTAACATAAAGAATGCGAAAAGTAAAATCAGGTAAAAATTTTTTGTAAACTCCCTAAGAATGACTACTTCTTCCATCGAACTAGACACAAATGCATTAGTTTCATAAAAATAAAGTTAAATATTCCATGAGTTTTGTGTTTGTCTTGTTCTCTATTTTTAAATGATAGAATAAAAAACATTTAACAAAAGGAAACAAACGAAAGAAATTTTACGGGCATTTATTATACACTTAATTCTATTATTCCTAAAAGAATTGATGCTCGTTTATTTAGATCGTGGAAACTGGAGATTCGATAGTAGGTAATTGGGGTACACATCAGTGTGATCGCGTCAATCAAAATCGGCGTAAACATTTACAAAATAATAGTACTTAAATCCAATATGGGTCAATTCGACGCGTTCCGTGAAGCTAGTGTTAAAAGTCAACATTTAAGGGTGAACTTCCATAATATAGTTCAATGAAAAAAGAACCTAACAATCATATCCAGTCATGCATGCAATGCCGAACCGAATGTCCATACCCAGGAAGTGAACAGTTGTGCACCGTTGCTCCAGAAGAATTTCACTGACCCACTTACAACCAATGCCGCTTTATAAATGATGATCATAAAAAGTATCACCGCTATAGTAATGGAATCAACAAAACAGAAGCTTTAACGCGCTATAAAATCCAATGAAATAAATCGTATAATAATTAGAATTAAACTTCTTGTGTACTCTGAATTCATTGAAATCGTTGATTTTACTAATTATCAGAGAGTTGTAATTTAAAATGAATAGGAAGTAGATATATTTAATATTTGAATATAGCAGTGCTTTCTTCGAAATTGATCATCTCGTTGTCAGCATTTTGCAAATATGTTTCTAAAGAATTCCGTGATAATCGCAAACTTGTAATTTTCGTGATATCAGAAAAAAGCAGGAAAGTAATTTTTACTTTACTAGAAAATGTAAGAAATTATGGGCAGTGGAATACTGAGAAATGCCAATGGACTATCTACATTAACTACAAGTGAAAAACGAATAGAGAATAATACTCGCTTAAATTCCACAATTTCGGGCCCAGCGGTAGAAATTAACCGAGCAGAAAAAACAAGAGAAAGCTATTTCGTTCCAGGAATTGACCCGAGCACAATCCAACAAAGGCAGAGAACGTCATGACACGCGGAACTTCAAAGCGACGCCGTATGCGCCAAAATATAAACATGCAACGAAGAAAATTTCAATTGCAGTAATGTTAACCGTTCCTCCTTAAATGTACTGCCAGTGAATTTCTGCGATTGTCGTGATTAAAATGAGTCCAAACACGATGGAAATCAGACTAGTTTCACCGACTTAATGTAATTAACGAAATTAAAGGCTCATTTGCCCCAAATCGATAAAACTAGACTGATTCACGTCGTGTTCGGACTCATTTTAACGAGAAGAATCTCAACGTTCCATCGGTACTATGATCGAGAAGCTAAGATTAAAATGATTGCAATTGAAATTGTCTTTGTTGCATGTTTATGCCTGACGCGGCGTTTCTCTGACCTGTGTCCGCCTCTCTTCCTCTCGTTGTATTCATTTCCAATCCCTGTCTACGGGGATCACGTCGCACTGAGCTCGAGACAGTGAGCAGTGGGAGAAGAGTAGGAACGGTGCAGTGAAATTAAGTCGAGCAAATTTCCGTGGAATTTAAGCGGGCATCGGTGTAGTTTTTCGTGACGCCTCAAACGGCAAATCAAACAATAAGACGAACAGCTCGAGGAGCAGGCACCGAAATTAAAAACATGTAAACGCTTTGCATGGAACAAAATTCAGAAGAAACTGCCACTTACGGTAAAGCACAAAGCGAATTGTTTACACTTTGCAGAGGAACATTTCAATGGAAGAAAAGATATCGAAATGTAATATTTTCCGGCAAAAAATAGGTATGACTGTTTTATTTTTTCATAAATAATATCGTGAACGGACAGCTAATTTGATTCGAACACTATGTTGGTAATATTGAGAGCTTGGTTTTATATATGTTAGTTTAGTAACCAGCATCACGTAGAAACGATTATCATCGATCTTTAGCGTCTTTAACCATCTGGTTCAAATATGGACTATGGAGCTGGTTCTCGATATGGGCTAGCGTGGTGTACATTTGTGACTACCGTAAATAGACTACTAGGATTTAAGTTTAATTTCATTAGTAAATACTTTGGACACTTTTTACAAAACGTATACAAATATTTTTACTTTATAAGTCGGAACTTAATGTTGAATATATTATTTAAATTAATATATAAACTTTTAGGTAAGTAACATAAACTAAACAATTTCCAGTAATGCCCTACTATTAATTAAAATATATATAATGTTATATAAAAGAAATAATTAAGGTTGCAAAAGAAATTAATTATAGAGACCATATCCTATTTAAATATCAATAACAAAACCTTAGAAATGAATACTATGTTTTTAAAAACATACACCGATGTAAATAAGTTCTTAAATGTGCATAAAACCTATCCTAATTAGTAAACCACATAATTAACACTTTGTTAATAAACACTTTGAAAAGCATTACATGCATTACTATTTAAATGCATTGTACAATTATTGTTTCTAATATTCACAAACTAATTTTATTGTCTTATTGTCATATTTATAGAATACAAATTCAATACGTTAAATACGTCAGTGTACGAATAAGTAAAAATATACAAAATGACAATTTATTATTTACAGTTTAGTATAAAACACAAATCTGTATTATTTTTTTACTTTTTGAAGAATTTA